GTCTGGAAATTTACTTAAACAAACTAGAGATGCAACAGTCTTACTGGAATAGCTTTGTCAGTTTTGATGAACAAACTTAAAGTTTTAACCCATTACACAGCACATAGCATCCACTTTAATATTTGTGAAAGCCAAAACTATAATTTGTGTTTGTCACAGGAGGAAAACGAGTTATCGGATATACTATGGTGATGTGCGGAAAAAGACTCCACAACTCACAAAAGTTGTAAAGTAGGTATGAATTATTCAGCCCTGAGACACATGAGTGGATAGCTTCTCCAAAATCATGCGCATTGTCAACAATACTTATCCCTCTATTTATTTTCTAAAGTATTACATATTCATTAAGTTTCATACATATTCATTACCTAGCTACCTAGCCTCGCCCAGCCTCGCTTTGCATTTTAATGAGTCAAAAAGTAATTTCCATATGCCTTGTGCTTGTGCTGTGCTCCCTGGTGGTCGTGTGATGGTTGTGTAAGATGAAGTAAATAAGTCTTCCTCAGGGTTGAACTTTTCACCTTGCGTCCTTGTGCCTGCTCCCTGGTCTTTTGGTCTCAGTACAAGCCTTAAGGCTGGTTTTGGTCAGTTTGGGGTCCAGAGAGCCGAACCAGGTCATGGTTCCTTCCTTTGAACAATAACCTTACATCCTGTCATCTTGCTTTTGCAAGCACAATAAACGTTAAGCAAGCGATATACATTGTTTAGCCAACTGCCCCTAATCAATCATTCTTCAACTCCTAATTCCTTTGCATGAATTGTAAAGGGAAGGGAATTGCAAGAAGGGGGGAGGTGACCATGAACATGGTCAGAACAAACCACAGAATCATATGCCTTAATAAAAGCCTGCAAAGTGTATCAAGGAAAGATAGTGAATATTTACAGATTCCAAGTATGCATGTGGAGTGGTATGTGAGTTTTGAGAGCTGGGAGGTGAGAGGTTTGTTAAAGTGCAGGGAAAAACATTTGCTCAATAGAGCTCAATTACTCACTTGTTGGAGGTGATGAATTTACTAAAAGAGGTAGAAATAAGAGCTGTTAAGGGACATCAGGCAGAATGCTCAGAAGAGACAATAGGTAATCAGCTGGCCAATGGAGATATTCAGAAAGCAGCACTTCTGCCGGAGGTCTCTAGGATCCTCCCTTTGCTTTCTGTGACAGCTGTTGCCAGGAGGAGGGTGGAAGTGGTGGTGGTGCTGTTTTTCACCAGAGGAGCTGGAGATAATTAAAAGCGACGGGGCAGAAGAAAGAGGTGAGAATTGAGTTGCAAAGGACAGTAAAGAGTGGATGCCAGGAGCTTTGAGTCTGCAAATATTGGGACAGCTCCATGGGGGGAGTCATTGAGACACTTGAGGATTGGCAGAGATGTTCTTCTAGATGTACTGCCTTGGGTCTTTTTGTTTTAGCAAAAGGAGCTATTGAGAGGTGCCTGGCTAAAGTTAATAGCCAGTATACAAAGGAGATTGCAAGGTAGGAAAAAGGCCTTGGGCTACACATCCTTTCCAGGGATATTTGGTGTATTTTGCTGAGATCCCCTGGGCAAGAGGGTTTAGATATCTTCTGGTAGTGATATGCCAGCTGGCAGGGTGGCCAGAGGAGTTTCTAGTCGCTTCAGCAACTATTTGATCAGTTAACAAGATTTCTGAATGGGGTGTGAAAAACGCCAAACACTTGTGTTAAAATATTAGAAGTTTAATAGTAATAAAATAGTAATAAAAATAGTAATAAAAATTAGGACAATAAGAATTTGGACAATCAAAGTTAGGACAATAAAAGACAATAAAAAGCAAAGAATTACGGATGTCTGGGTGTTATGCTCTGCCACAGGACACACTTCGCTAACAAAGGATTAACCCTTAAAAGTAATAGCCTGTTGCATATTCATGTCTCTCATACATGATGCAAGCATTCTTTTCATACAAAGGGTGTCTTCTGATTAATTTCTGCTCCCCCCCCTATCTTGTAAATCAATCATCTCGGTCCCCACAAAGTCTGGGTTTTCCCGATAAAGAGGCAATAATTCTTCTCCTGATTTCTTGGTGTCTTGTTGCTGTTATCTCTATGCAAAGAATTTCTTTATTATCTTATCCATTCCTTGAGCTAGTTACAAAAAGTATCTTACATTCTATTTTAATATTATGCTATAGCCTAAAATCTATATTTACCACACTACTTAAAAAAGATTAATATAACATACCTTTCCACCATAACATATAGGATTCATTTTAATATTTGCAAAGAGCCAATGATATAATATGCATTTTTCACAGTGGGATTGTGAAGGCAGTGGACTTGGACAGGGGCAACTCATTTTATAAGGGGATCCTTCAAAGGATTATGACTGCTCTGAGAATTCAGTGGGACCTCCATATCCCCTGGCACTCAAAGAATTCAGGTCAAATAGAAAGGATGAATGGAAATATAAAGAAACATCTTTTGAAGTTTGTGACAGAAAGTAAGATGCCATGGATATGGCTTTTGTCATTAACTTTGGCAAGAATAAAATCCAAAACCTAAGGAATATTCAGTTATTCCCCTTTGTGAAAAATGCATATTATATGATTGGCTTGTCACAAATATTAAATTGAATACTATATGTGTTATGTTGGAAAGTTATTTTGTAGTACTGTATTAATCCTTTTAAAGTAGTGTGTTAAATATAGTTTTAGGCTATAACAGAATATTGAAATACAAACCATGTGACATAAGATACTTTTTCTAACTAACTCAAGAAATGGATAAGATAATCAAGAAATTCTTTGCACAGAGATAACAGCAAAAAGACACCAAAATCCCCAAGAGAAGAATTATTGCCTCCTTACCGGGAAAACTCGGACTACTTCCACCTCCTTCCAGACTCCAAGGAGCCAACAAGATGAAGGAGGGGAATTTGACAATAAACAGAAAAATCTCTAGTTTGAAAGGAATCTTTGCATCATGTATGAGATACATGAATATGTAACAGGCCGTTGCTTTTAAGCGTTTTTCATTTGTTAGCAAAATGTGTTCTGGGACAGAGCAGAACACCCGGATGTCTGTAATTCTTTGCTTTTATTGTCCTTTATTGTCCTAACTCTGATTATCCAAATTCTTATTGCTCTAAATTTTTTTACTATTTTTCTAACTATTAAACTTCTAAAATTTTAAAACAAGTGATTGGTGTTTTTCACAATTTGGTGCCAAAACCTGGGAATTAACACCTCGCTGCGGGGGCCTAAGAGGATTCCAAGTGAGGGAGGAGCACCTTGCCAAGTTTGGCAGCCTCGCTCTGTTTCTTCTGGCATGGCTGGCAGACGCAGGTTCCAACCAGTGGACTAATAAAGCCTTGTATTTTGGCCTTATTATCATGCAAGGCTGCTCAGGAACTCAGTCCCCAGGGGAGACCGGTGCCCGATGCTCGGCTCAGGCCGAATAGCCGCGGGCCCAACCCAAGCAAGCTCAGTAGTGATTAGCTCTCTAGTGATATCAGCTCTCTTAGGATGTTCAACTCGGCTTGCTGGGTAGTGGTGCCCTTGGCATGAGGCTGCAGCAGATGGAGAGAGAGGAGAAGAAGACGACACTGGCTGGTTCCACAGAGATGGTTTATTGGGGATATCTGTGAAGGGTCTCAGCTCTTCTTCTAACTAATGGGGCCCAGTATGCCCTTTATATAGGCTTGGCTAGAATCCAAGCTTAACCAATGGCAAGGGTTTTTAGGAATATCCAATAGTAAAGGTTTAGGTGTAACATTGCCATATAGGGTTACAGAGATAGGTTATGGGGTGGAGGTCAGAAAGACAGGATATTCTTTGCTGCCTCAGCATTCCTGTTATTCAATTCTCCATGGTGCCTTTCCCAAACCTTTGGGGTTTGCTACAGTGGACAAAAACAGACAATAAAACAAAGAAAAGGGAAAAGGCTCCCTAAAACCGCGGTAATTGGCCCCCTAAGACTAGTAGTGCACAGAAAGAACCCTAAAAGGAAAAAAGGGTTGGTAAGTACTTTTCGGGGGGACAGGTACGGAAGGATGAATGTGTGTCTGATGAGAGGCAGGCTGGTTATCCCAGACCTGCTACGTGAGTGAGGAGTTTCCTATGCTGCGTTTCCGTCTTTTCGCGAGAAAAGCGGCCAGTAAAAAGATGAAGCGAGAGATAAAAGGAGTGGGAGAATCCTCCAGAGTAACTGAGACTGGGTCTCAGGGAGGGGTTGGACCCCTTGGAGGACAGGAGCAGAGGCGTTTCCTAGCACAGTCCACTAGGAAATGGGACAAAAGGGAGGGGCCCCTAAAAATTCTGCTGGGTTGAGGTATAAAATGCCCAAGAGCATCCAGGGTTAAGCAAAATTCTGCCGGATTGAGGATATGCCCAAGAGCATCCGGAGTTGGACAACACAGCTGGATTGAAGGATAAAAATGCCCAAGAACATCGAGGGTTGGACAACACAGCTGGATTGAGGGATCCCAAGAACATCCGGGGCTGGCCAGTAACATTTGAAATTGTAACAAGTGATTTGAAAGTAAAAGGTACCTTATTGTTGTCTTGTTGTGCGTGAGAGTGAATCACACACAAAATCAGCTTCAGCTTCCCGGGCGTGTGGGGGGGCTGTGGCAAAAGGTGTATGTGACCTGCAAACAGGCCATTGTTCTCCAGGCATGTGGGGACTGTGGAGAGAGAGAGAGAGAGTGACACACAGATAGCCTCACAGATGAACTGGCACCAGAGGCAACCAGATTCAGGGCCCTTCCTGGAGGCCCAGTGATACTGAAGCCCAGTGGACAACTCCAAGGTGAGGGGAGGCTACAGTATCATAGGACCTTTTTAGCACCGTGACTGTAAGGAGTAGTCATGTGGCCTATTCCTCAGGGTATGGGGGGTGAGAAGTCCAGCTCAGTCAAGGTGCAGAGGTCCGAACCCCTGACTCTGAGGCTATCTCTAGGGAAGAGGGATAGCCAAACCTCAGGGGAGGTGGAAGGGGTCAGGGTGGGGGACTCACACCGACCTGTGATTCTCTGGCAACAGCAGTCCACTTCGTGTGAGTCTAAGAGGCTTGCTAATGTTTCCTTCCTCTGTCCAATAAAATAAACGGGAAATTAACGGGACTGCTGAACCTAGGTCAGTAGGGAAACTTAGGGGTGTCAGTACTTAAAGTTCTGGGGTGTCGAGAAAAAGTACCTTACGTAGCCTGTGTGAGGGAGGCGCCAAGGACCAAAAACTCGGCTAAGCAGAAGTCGAGAAGTATGAATGAACAGGTCCGAGGATGCGAATAAATATGTGAGAATGAGTGAGAAATAAAAGTGAGTAAATGTAGATGAATGAAAGTATGTAATGTAGATTGTTTACTTCAAGCTTCACTATATCTACTTGGAGGGAGGAGTATTGTATTAAATTGTATTGTGAGAAAAAGCTTTTTTTGTGTGCGCAGTCGGAAGGTGGTATTCAGATTGCTAGAGACAGTGGGAAACGGAGGCAGGAGACGAATACATAAGATCTTGAAAAATGGAACAGAAAACCAGTAAGTTAGGTACAGGAAAAAAGGGGAATAAAAGTGTACCAGCAGAAATACCCCAACATAGCCCTTTGGGAGTTATGTTAGCTAACAGGGATACGAATCCTTGTACAAGGAGAAAAGACAGGGTATGCAGTGGTTGATGGGAAAAACATGCAAACTATTGAAAAAAAGGGAAATTAACCTTAAACTGGTAAGCTTAAACTTGTGAATTATATGCTCTAAAAAGAATACTGGAATATTTAGCACACAAGAAAGGATCTATGTAAATACTGATTCAAGGTGTGCCTTTGGAGTAGTACATACCTTTAAAAAAATTTGGGAAGAAAGGGGATTACTTAATTTAAGAGGAAAGGGATTAGTACATGAAGGACTCATTTTAGAGGTTTTAGAGGCATTAAAATTACCTGAAAAAGATAGCTATAGTACATATTAAGGGACATCAAAAGGGAAAGACATCAGAAATAAGAGGAAATAATTTGGCAGATCAAGAAGCTAAAGATGCAGCAGAAAATGAGGCTGAAAGAGTTAATTTTAACCCCAAATAAGGGGTGTAGGAACAATACTTCCCTGTTTTTCCCTATCCTGGAAGCCAGGAATACAAAAGACTTGCAGCTGGCCCTGTATTAGACTGCAGATTTTGAAGAGAAGGCAGAGACCTTCCCAATCTTCCCTTATCACATAGCCTCCTGCTGCTATTTCCTTTAACCATATTTCTCCACACTCCCCTTCTACCAATCCTTTCCTAAACAACACCATATTGCCCTCTCTGGGAATGGGTTGCCAAGACCCTTTCTCGGTACCTCTTATTGCCCCCTCTAAGCGTCCATGTTCCCCATATTGCCCTCTCTGGGCATACACCATTGTGAAAAATGCATATTATATGATTGGCTCTTTCCAAATATTAAAATGAATCCTATATCTGTTATGTTGGAAAGTTATGCTGTATTAATCTCTTTTAAGTAGTGTGGTAAATATAGTTTTTAGACTATAGCATAATATTAAATTAGAAACTATGTGATGTAAGATACTTTTTGTAACTAGCTCAAGGAATGGAAAAGACAATCAAGAAATTCTTCACATTATCCTATCTGGATAGAGATAACAGCAACAGACAACAAGATCCCAAGAGAAGATTTATTGCTTCCTTTTTGGGAAAGCTCAGACTTTGAGGAACCAAGAAGACTGATTTACAAGATGAGGGGGGAAGCTAAAATTAAGTAGAAACACCCTAGTGTGAAAGGAATGTTTGAATCATGTATATGATATATGAATATGCAAAAGGCTATTGCTTTTAAGGGGTAATCCTTTGTTAGCAAGGTGTGCTTTGTGGCAGTGCCAGGCACCTGGACATCCATAATTCTTTGCTTTTCATTGTCTTTTATTGTCCTAATTTTTATTACTATTTTCATTACTATATTCATTACTATTAAACTTCTAAAATTTTAACAAAAGTGAATGGTGCTTTTACAACCATATTGCCCACTCTGGATGTCCATGTCCTTGTAACTACCTCTGGGAGAATGTGCAAACTATCCCAACATTCTCCTAAAGGACCCTTCGGAGGTATTTTGGGACTGTCATCCATATAGTCGAGACCCTTTTTCTGACTTTCTTTTGTTGCCCACCGACCCTTTTTCTGACTTTCTTTTGTTGCCCACCCTGGACATCCTGCCATGTTTTACTCCCTGAAGTTGTACTTACCAGTGAGATTTGCCAAGACCCTTCCTGACTTTCCCTTACTGCCCCCTCTGGGCATCCATGTCCAGTGGACTCTTTCCTATAGACTCTTCACGGACGTCTGTGGTCCACCTCTCATCTGTCTCCTGGACAGTCTCGGGTACCCAATCAATAGTCTGGTGCCAGCCAGTGCTGAAGGGAGCTGATCACCAAATCTGGGTGAGGCACACCTCTTGCTCCTCTTGCTGCAAGCCGGACCTAGACAGTAGAAGGACATGGGACCGAGCCCCCAATTGTCAGGAAAATCCACAAACACCAGAGGCTTATGTATAAAAAGGAGACAGAGGAGTCTTATAACTTTATTCAAATAAAGGAAGAGAAGTCACCATGTGTCCTGATTTAGGACAAATTTTGGAGGAAACCTCTGAAGGGGTCTTTTCTAGAAAAGCAGATTTCAGCAGCCCCTCCCCCTACCAGTTTGGGATAAAATCTCCTTCAAAAAAGTGGAAAAAACTGTTTATGTAACAAGCAAAGTACTCACAAGCATGGAAAAATGAGTAATTATAAACAATAAATCCTCTCGCTGTTCTGAAGAGATGGCAAATTCAAAAAGAGTCCTTCTGTGGGTGTGGCTCAGTGTCTCAGTTTCTCTGTGGCTCAGGCCCAGTGTGCCAGGTCTGGCATGCAAATTGGGGGCCCCCCCGGGTGATTCTCCTGATGTCCTGGACCGTCTAGAAGCTGAACAGTCCCAGAAAAAGAAGGCACAAACCAGGGAAAACTTTTCCTGCCATAGCTAACCAGGAAAAACAGTGAAAAGAACAAAGAAAAACGCCCTCTCTCTCTCTGCAGAAGCTGAGAACTCAGAGAGAACTGCCACCAGCTTGGAGAGAGCTAAACTCTCATCTCTGTGTTTTGAATACAGAGCAAAAAAATTCCACCATTAGCCCCTACTTTCTCTTTCTCTGGGTCTAGCTTAAAGTTAGAAGACCCATTTCTGAGCAACAAGGTTGATGATCAGGATACCTGCATCATGAAGTCACCCCAGGGCACTGGGGCACACACCCATGGGCTTTTCTCTCTCAGATTTTCAGAGAGTGCAGCCTCCCTTTTATCCTGAACTCCAGTCCGCATGTTGCCTTCTTCCTTTCCCCATTGGCTGAGGTACTAGGAAGTTACAGCCTTCTGCCTACTCCATATGCCCCCTTGAATCTGTCATTTTACCCCAAAGTTCAGAAGTTTAGGCTTGTGCAGACCTTTGTCTATCTCAGGAGCCAACCTGTCTGGGCTCTGCAAGAAACTTGCTGCCCCAAGTATGTAGAAACATTGTGATAACTGCATGTTATAGTTTTGGCATTCGCAAATATTAAAGTGGATGCTAAGTGTTGTGCATTTTAATATAATGTTAACTTTTGCAGAAGTAGCCATAGTTGTGAAATGATAACTAATGCTTTTATTTTTGTAGCTAACTGGCAATAATTAAAATTACTCAGACATATTTGTAAAGTAGTTGATGTTCATTTAGAGTACTTGTAGTTAACTTGCAAAAACTGAAATAACTAAACCATCTGCATGGTCAGATCGTTTGAGGAACGGGCGTGATGAGGACCCCTGCTGCTGACACTGACTATCAACAACTGTCACCTGCTGAAGCCATGGAACAGGGGGCTGTTGTGAGGAGGTGACACATGACCTTGAAAACGACATACAAGATTACTGCACATGCTCTAAGAAGGTGGATTAGAGGAGGGACCATTCTAAAAACTTCCTGGAACATGTAAATGAGTTTAAAAAATGTTTGAATATGTATCATCATTTATGTATTTGACCAATGCAATAGAAAGGGTATTTAAGAAGAGTTGCTATGGTTAGTCGGTGTGCCTCTGGCTATGGCTACGCACCCAGCACTGTTAGTTTTGCTTTATTGATTTTATCCCCTGTTGTCCTTTATGATTTTTTTTTAAAAATTCAACCAAAGAGGGGGCTTAATTTCTCACTGCCATTATGACACATTTCACAGATGTTAACACCCATACTTTCACCCACCAAATTAATTTAAAAACATTAGCACATATCTTTCCTATCAGTAGCATTTGGTACCTGCTGTTCTTCAACCTTCAACAACCCCACACTAGAAGTGTCCACTGAGAGACCGAGCAAGGTAGGCAGCCACTTAATTTCCAACATTTCCTGGGCAACTATACCAAAAGTCCCCTGGTTCCCTTTTGGATCCTTGAAATATCCTCTCCTGAGATAGTCTATGCCAAGGATGCACAGAGCCTCTGGGCCAGTCACAGTGGGGTGCTTTTGCCACTCATTACGAGTCAGGCTAAGATCAGCCTCCAGTATAGTCAACTGATAGGATCCCCTTGTCACTCCAGAAATACAGATGGATTCTGCCCCTGCATAACTTGATGGAATTAGGGTACACTGTGCACCAGTGTCTACTAAAGCCTTGTACTCCTGTGGGGCTGCTGTGCCAGGCCATAGGATCCACACAGTCCAGTAAACCTAGTTATCCCTCTCCTCCACCTGGCTGGAGGCAGGGCCCCTGTGAATACTGATAAAAAGATTCCTCACTTAAATCCTGAAGAAATGGACTAGAACTTCTTTCCATGGAGTCAGTAGCATAATCGGCTCTTCCATTCGGCCTGGGAAGCTGTCCACTGGAGACTGGAGCAGAAACTTTCCTGGAAGATGCCCCATTTATGACTTTTACCCTGCAATTTCTGCACCCGTGTCTCTAGGATCAAGGTAGGGTTTTGTTGGAGGTTAGGATTTCTCCTTTTTTTTTTTCCTTTCTCTCAGGAAATTTTGTCTCCTTTGTTGCCTAAGAGATGATAAAGT